GAAATGAGTATGGGGAAGATAAGCAGAGCATGAATAGCTCTACTGTCAGCTCAGCATGGTGACCACATGGAGTGGCAAGCATCACCTGGTTCACTCGGAGATGCAGAATTCAAACCTAACTTATTCATGTATTCATTCAAAACTGTTTTACAAAGCCCCTACTATGTGCCAGATGTGTTAAGTAAGGGACACAAAAACAACCATGATGCACACAGTTCACGCCCCCAAACTGACCTCAGAGTTACTGGCTGATGATTCTGCCAGGAACCAGATGCTTGACCTTGATGATCCTCCTGCTTCCCTTTGCAGTTTCCACATCTGCCTGGTGAGTGTAACTACAATGAACGCTCACTAATTGTGCCCAAATGTAAAGGGTGGATACATGAGAAAGGCCTTGGAAATTAAAACCACTCTATGCTCAAACAATACTGACGCATTATAAATATTATCAAATGTATGAAAGATGCCATGCATTGTCCATATTTTAAATGTTTGATTATGAGCACCAAACAAACAGTAGGTGTTCGATAACATACTGAATAAAAAAAGGAAGGAAGGTAAACCAGCTCTGTTGACAACACAAGGTCGTCACTGAAAAGCAAATGTAGAAAGGTGATGTCAGCAAGGTGACCAACTGGAAGCCCATAGCTCCGGTCCCCTTCGCATAGAGCCAGAACAATGAGTAACTACGTTTTAATAAAAACAACTAAGGGAGAGCACCAGAATGCATTAGAGGAGTAAAAGAAATCCTGGCTAGCACAGAAACTTTGATGGCCACACAGAAAAGGGAAAGAAACATAGGGCGTCCACCACCCCATCCGCCAGTGGAGATCAGCTGGGAACCAGGAGGAACTTCTCCTTATGGCAAGCAGGTAAGCAAGAGGATCCCAGCAACCCCTGGACACCTACAGACCTCACCGCTGGGGTCCCCTGCCGTCCTCACAGGCTCTAAGCCCTGCTAAGGTTGCTGCCTGGAGTCCCCACAGTTGGGCCCCCCTCCAGAAGGAGATGACAGTGTGCCCCAGCCCTGTGGCCCACGTGGCTACACCATCTTGGAATTGGAACTACTGGAGCATGTTCTGCTCTGGGCCAGACATCCCCAAGCCAAGCTGCCAACGGCTGTTACAGCATTCCCCGCAGGACCAAGTAGAGGTAGAACTGCTCCACCTACCCCTCTCACATCCCCTTGGGCTGGAGCTGAAGCAGTACCCTGCCTCCCAGGAAAATAGGACCTTGGCCACCCAGAGGGGCCACATCTCCCCAGTGCCTAAGTTGAAACAGTATCCTGCATCTCAGGGAAATAGTGCCTGGGCCACAAAAAACAGTCATGCTCCCCAAAGTCTGAGCTGAAGCAGCACATCCACCCTGGGCGATCTGTGCCCTGGCTGAGCTCTCATATTACGCTGCATGCCAGGGAAACAGAGCAGTGGCTGAGCTGAGACCACCTCATGCCACAGGCCAGACAACTCCAGTACCCTGTTTCCCTGGAGCTGAACTAGCCCCCTAGAATCTGGGTTGCTGAGACACCCCTCTGTCCCTGGGGAGCGGAATAATCTCTGTGCTGTTCCAGGACCCACCAGGGCCAAAAAGACAGCTGTGCTCCACCATCCGGGGTGCTTGCTGCCAATACATTGGGCCTCATAGAGTCCAGGATACCACCAAGTCGCACCATTCCAGGGTCCGCAGTCACTGCTGCATGATGCCTCCACTTCAGAACATCGGTCTGGGCAAAGATTTTATGAAAAGATTTATCAAAAGAATAAATGGGCAACAAAAGCAAAAATAAACAAATGGGATTATAGAAAACTAAAACACTTCTGCACTGCAAAGAAATAATAAAGAGACAATTTGTAGCATGGGAGGAAATATTTGCAAACTATTCATCCAACAAGGGATTAGTATTCTGAATACACAAGGAACTCAACAACAAAAAAACAAGTAATTCGACTGAAAATGGACAAATGAGCTGAACAGACATTTCTTAAGAAGACAAACAAATGGCCAACAGGTATATGAAAAAATGCTCAACATCACTAGTTATCAGGGAAATGTAAATGAAAACCACGATGAGATATCGTCTCACCCCATTAGAATGGCATCATTGAAAAGACAAAGAATAACAAGTGCCGGGGAGGAGAAAGGGAAACTCTCTACGCAGTGTTGGTGGGAACATAAATGTACATAGCCATTATGGAAAACAGTATGACGTTTCCTCAAAACACTAGAAAGAGAATGACAGCACAACATAGTGACTACAGCCAACAATAAGTTAGGGTAGACTTTAAAATAACTAAAAGAATGAAATAGGAACGTTCCTAACACAAAGAAATGGTAAATGCCTGAGGTGACGCAGACCCCAATCCCCCTGATTCGATTATCACACGTTGTAAGTCCACATTAAAACATCACATGTACCCTATAGATATACATAACTATTACGTACCCATGATAGTTAAAAATAAAAAATTTAAAAGAAAAAATAATGAAACGAAAACAAACGAAGAAGGAAGGGAGGAAGGGAGAAACAGAAACAACCTCGCTTGTACGTAGTCCTCCCGGGCCACGCCACAAAATTTCCCTGAACATGAAGTGGCACATAATGAGATAGATTCTTTCGATAAATGCCCTTAGAAGAGGAGGTACAGAGGGTCTTACCAGACAGCACAGCAGAATTACAGGTTCCTTTTCTTACACCTCCACTGCACATCGCTTGTACCCCTGTTCACTACTGACGCGTTCTGCTACACGGCTACGCCAATGCCCGTCCTCACCACGAGCCGGTAAGCTCCAAGTTCTGGCCCATTCAGCTTCTTTCCATTCGCACTCTCACCCCCAGCCTCTAGCCCTCTGCAGGGTCACATCAGGAACATCTCCTCATAAGAACAAATTTTTTTAAGGTGGGAGAGAAATAGCTAAGTAGGGTTTCAGTTACATGTTGTTATTCTTAATAATTATTTAACCCCTTAGTATATGCACTAAATAGTTTAAAGTATTATTTGATTAACTGCATAGAAAAACAGATTTGGGAGATACAGAATGTCATTTAAATATTTATAAAAAATCAAGAATTATTTTTCACATTAACACTAGAACAGCAGGCAAAATTTTTCATTTTTAAGACCTGTACTCAATTTAATAACCCACAAAGATCATATATTCTTATACTATATTATTATCTCACATTACACAGCAAATTGAAATTGGCATCTTTATTTACAATGTGCTAAGCAAAGCTCAGTCACACTTTTGAAACTACTAAACATCTCAAATTGCTTTCAAATGTTTGAGGTTTGTAGTAATTGAAATACGCTATGTCAAGCTTTGTCCTTGATATTAAATAGTAAATACCAAGAGTGTTTTGAAAAGAAACTGCTGGTCTCTGATTTATTATTTCACACTCTCCCTTCCTCTCCATCTGTACACACATGCATACACACACAAACATATTCATATACACTCACTTTAAAAACTGTTTTATATTTCAGTGCAAAGCCTTCCGTTTCAAAGATCCACCTCTTTTTATTATAAACATTGTGTAAGAAAATTTCAGAAACTTTAAAAACTAGTGAGGAAAATTATCTATACTTTTAGCACTATAACATATTTTTTTCTTTTCTTTTCTTTTTTATTTCAGCATATTATGGGGGTACAGATGTTTAGGTTACGTATGTTGCCCTTGCTCCCCCTCCCCACCCAAGTCCGAGTTTCAAGTATGTCCATCCCCCAGATGCTGCACATTGCACTCTTTGTGTATGCATATACCCACCCGTCTTCCCCCCCTCCCCCCTGCCCGACATCCAATAGATGTTATTCTTATATGTGCACTTAAGTGTTGATCAGTTAATACCAATTTGATGGTGAGTACATGTGGTGCTTGTCTTTTCATTCTTGGGATACCTCACTTAATAGAATGTGTTCCAGCTTTATCCAGGAGTATACAAGAGGTGCTGTATCACCATTGTTTCTTAAAGCTGAATAGTACTCCATGGTATACATGTAACATTTTAATAACAATCATGTGAGTACTTTAAAAACAGCATGTTGATACACTAACAAAATTTCCCCCAAAATAGTATTTTTGTTTTTAATATGAAAGTTATTTATATAGTCAAAATTATACATAAAATTAATTGCCACTATAAAAACAATATTCACAGAAATGAAAAGTCAAGTTTGGCCAAATACAAATTCATTTAAAACCAAAACAAAAATCATACTACAACATTCAAAGCAAGTATATTAACATATGTTCAATTTGAGGGAAAATTTATTTGACTTCACATTCCTTATGAGCCTACATTTCTGTCATAAATATAACTGCTGAAGCAGTCTCTGTGATAAAAATAAAGACTTTGGGGACTAAGAGAGCAACAAACAAAGGGAACCCTCCTATAGAAAGCTACTTCGCAGAAAGTTAAAAACAAAATATGCTTAAAATCCCAGGAACCCAAAAGTTAAAACTGGCTCTCCACTCTTTTTTTCATTTATCTAGAGCTTAAATCAAAAAGGTTCATAATGAATAACGTTCTGTTAGAGTTTAAGTGTGAATCAAAGTCAAATTCCAAGTCAATTCTTTCCCTACTATGCACACATAAAAATTGTTTTAAGACTTCTTTTTGTAAAACATAATAATATAATTATATCATTGAAATATATACAAATAATGATGTTTTTCTCAACATTAATAACAATCATTAAATAAAATCAAGTATAATACTGACTTCTGCATTTTTCAATGTGGTCATATCTAAATCAACTGAATTCTCAAGAATTATTTGCCAAGTTTTTTTTTTTTAAGTCAAGATTCGTTCTTTTGTATTTATTTCTCCTCTTTCTAACTTAATCTTTTTAAACAGAATAAAACTCCTATAGATTTAAAATGCTAATATTTGTCTACTTTATATTTTGCTTTCTAGAAGGTATTACATGCTTGTTCCTTTGACATCAGGTAGAAAAGTTAGCTGAAAATTAGTCCACACTCAATATAAGAGAAATCTTACCTTCTAGTTTGTTGTTTTTCCTCTTCAGCCATTTTTCTATAGTCTCTACACTAACACTTTCAGATACAAATTCATCTAATACCTGGGGGTGAAGAGAAAGATATGCCTTCACTTTTTCATCTGTCAAACCTGTAAAAGAATTGAAAAGAATAAAATTCACCTATACAACATCTTCATATACGTAAAAGATACAGTATAATGATGCATTAGGCCAAGATCCAGTAATCTCTAATCTACTGGCAAAAGGGCTGGAGAAAGCAGGAATAGAGTTATTGCTCAATGGAACAGAAATGAGTTTCTGTTTTGGGTGAAGGCAAAGTTTTGGAAGTAGGGGTGATGACTGTCCAAAACTGTGAATGTAATTAATACCACTAATCTGTATACTTGAAAGGTTAAAACAACATTTTTACATTATATTTTTACCATAATAAAAAGAATTTTAAAAAGAATGTAAAGTTAGAAGGTAAGCAATTTTAAACTACGGCTAATACATCATGTTACAAAGCTGTTTTCCACAAAAAATTTCAGTGTTACATATGAACCAACACCATGATCCAATGCTGTACATTAAGCCTTGCAAAGCACGTATTTCTTTTGTGTAAATAGTTATCATAGATTTAACACTCAAAGCAAGTGAAACTCCAGCAATAATAGCAAACAGGAGAATCTAGCTCTGGAACATTATAGGTGCTAAAAAAGGTTGAATGAATAAACTCTCATATTTTATTACCTTACAACACAAATTCTTCATTTTTCTCAAAGGCACTAAACCCAGTGGTATGACTAAAATTAAGTTCAGAATAATCTTGACATGCATTCATTAATATTCTATGTATGTAGCCAGTTTCACTGAAATAATTTTCATAGTCTAATGATAATTGTTGAATACACATAGGATTTTCAAAATACTTTTACATGTTTTCACATTGAACATATGAAATCATGTTTTTTTCCAAATTGCTGCTTCATGTTGGTATGGCATTTCATTAAACAATCCCCAACAGAAACAGACTATGAATAATTATTCTCAGTGATGGTAATTATTTTTACTACTATATCTCCACTGTTAATTATTTCAATAAATTACCCGCCTTATGGATGGTTAGGTAAAAAAGGCAACAAAAGATTGTACTTTGAGACAGAAAAGAAGGAAGGAAGCATATCTTTATGACTCAAGGGAGTAGGCTATATGTTTTCCCAAACAGACAAAGCAGAAATTTCATATGTGTTAATTAATTCTGCTGGGAACTAAAGTCATAATTGTTAGGATTCTACAACAGAATGGTATAAGTGAGAAGGAAAATTATTTCATTCAATGAAATCAGTACTTAAGTAGTCAATTTAAACATACACACACACACACATACACACATATATATTGTAGCAGTAGAGAAAAGAAAATGAGACCCTTGTCTGTCTTCACCCTGCAACAGAGCCCTGGTAGAGTTCAGCTGGAGAAATTCTACAAGGCGCTAAAGATAAGAGATTTATTAAAGTAAGAGAGTGTCTCAACAGAGCAAATATTAGTCCCCAGATACAAAAGACACAGGATGCTATAGTGAGCTGACAGCCCAACTGACCTTCAAGACAAGCAATGCAAATTTCATTTGATTGAGTTCTCCATATGGGACACATGCAACTCTTGATTCCTTCTTAAAACTTCCTCCTATCATTTCCATGACACAAGATTATACAATTCTTACCCTAACTTTCTAATTGCTCTTGAATTCTGCTTTCTCTCAACAACTCGTGATGATGACACCAAAATCTGAGTCAGAAATCTTCAATATATTTTTGATCTCTAGACTTTGGATATTCTTCCATCACCTCAAGCTCCACCTTAAGTCAAAATTAATGAGTCATCTCCTTTCCACTTCTTCCCAAAGAGATTTTAACTCTCAATTTTCCTTTTTCTGTTACTATTTATTTTCATTTTCCCAGAAGCCCAGGCTGAAAATATAGTCATAACTGACTCATCCCTCGTCATTTTACTCATCTCAGTGCATTATCACACAAGTCCTATTCACTAAATTACATGCCAAATAAAGGACTTGAATCCAAAATAAACAAAAACTCTTACAGCTCAACAACAAGGAAACAAATAACCCAATTTAAAAATGGGCCTAAAATCTGAACAAACGCCTCAGCAAAGAAGAGACAGATATGGCAAATAAGCATATAAAAAGATACTCATTTATTAGTGAATTGAAGTTAAAACAAAAGTGAGTTTCTACTACACATCTATGAGAATGGCTTAAATCCAAAAACTGACAATACCAATTGCTGCAATAAATGCAGAGCAACAAAAATTCTCACTCATTGCTGATAGAATGCAAAATGGTACAGTTAAGTAACTGGCAGCATCTTACAATGCTAAATACCGTCTTTCTGTATAACCCAGGAGTCACACTACTAGGCACTTACCCAACTGATAGGAATACTTATGTCCACAAAAAAACATGCATGTGAATGTTTACGGAAGTTTTATTCAAAATCACCCAACTCTGGAATCAGCCAAGATGTCTGTAATAAGCAAATGGATAAGCAAACTGTAGTACATCCACACAACTAAATGTTTAGCAATAAAAACAAAGGAGCTAACAAGCCATGAAAAGACATGGATGAATCTTAAATGCATATTGCTGAGAGAAAAAGCCAGTCTAAATAGATATATATTATATAATTCCAACTATACAACATTCTAGAAAAGGCAAAATTGTAGAGACAGTAAAAAGATCAGTGGTTGCCAGAGGTTCAAGGGAAGGCAAGGAAGGTTGAATGGGTGAAGCACAGGGGATCTTTTAGGATGATAAAACTATTCTGTACGCAGTGGTCCCCAACCTTTTTGGTACCAGGGACAGGGGGGAGGGGAGAAATGGTTTCAAGACGATTCAAGCGCATTACATTTATTGTGCAGTCAAACCTCTTTGCTAATGATAATCTGTATTTGCAGCCACTCCCCAGGACTAGCATCACCGCCTCAGCTCCACCTCAGATCATCAGGCATTGGATCCTCATAAGGAGCGCGGAACCTAGACCCCTCGCATGCACGGTTTACAGTAGGGTTCTCGCTGCTATGAGAATCCAAGGCCACCACTGACCCAACAAGAGGTGGACCTTATGTGGCGATGCCAGTGATGGGGAGCAGCTGTAAATACAGATGAAGCTTGCTCACTTGCCCACCACTCACCTCCTGCTGTGCAGCCCAGTTCTTAACAGGGCATGGACCAGTACTAGTCTGCGGCCTGGGGCTTGGGGACCCCAGCTGTTTGATATTGTAATGATGAATACATGACACTACATATTAATATTTGTCAGAACCCATAGAATTTTATTGCACAAAGAATAAACTATAATGTGCATAAATTTTTAATAAATAACTTAGGTTAGGGGATCCCAGGATGGAAGGCACAATGTGACAAAAGAATCTAACTGTATTACAAACGTATAAAAACCTCACTGAAGGGTCAGGGGATAAGGTGCTGACCTATAAAACTTTGACAATAAGTGGAGACTGAAACTAAATGCCAAAGAAACTGTATATAAGCACTGTACTCTAGTTGATAAAGTTAATATCCCATGAGGGTAGAGTTTGACAATTTTGACACCACTATGCATGTATACTGCAAATGGACAACTAAATACATGGATGGTACATGGTGGGAACAAGATTTCTCATGGATGGAGTAGGATGCTACAGATAAGCAGAAGGAAGAATTTAGAGTGATCCATGTGCTTCCAAGTTTGAGTGGGAGATACAAGTAGGAACTCATGTATGACAACATAGATGGTTACATATAGGAATACTGTAGAGAGATATATATGCTCAGGTTAACACACAGACATTTTTTGCCTTGCAATGTTAGCTGAGAGGGCCTAGAAGCAACAATATGCCAGCATCAATGAGCATATGTAGCACCCAGATATTGTTTTCTAATACCATACTCCAATAAAAGGAACCATGGCTCCTTGAAGAAATGGCTAATTTAAGGAAAGGAAAAGAAAATTCGTAAGATAAGCTTGGAGCAGCCAATGATCAAAAATTTGCCACCAATAATCCACACAACTAATATAGATAACTATTCCAAGGTAATGTATATATTTGAACGAGTACCTTTTAAAATTCATTCCTGCTAATAAACGACATTCTCTCATCTATGCAACATCTTGACGG